GTTTGGCGGGTCCGGGCTGGGGATTCGAACCCGCCACCTTAGGTGTATGTGGCTGGCGCCTTAGCCGGTTGAGCTATAGGCGCCGAGCCTAAAAAAGATTTTTGAGGGCTCTGTGCCTACCCTGCCCTGGCAATGGAGGTCCATTCACTATCTATGGCAAATGTATCCCATTTTGTAAGCCTTCTTACTCTGTTAACCTACCTTTCTCTTTCTTGATAAACTTTGTTTCATGCTTGCCTTGAAATATATATATATATATATATATTTTTTTTTTTTTTTTTGGCAACTATTTCAGATTTATAATCATTCCCTTACCTGATCTACATCACAGGCGAGACGAAGCAGCACAGGAAAAGTCCGCTTATAAAGCTGGTACATGGGAGGAGCTCCCTGATCCCCTTCAGGCATTTGGGTAGCTTTGCCCAGCAGAAACATAACCATGCTATGTAACAGTTCACAAGCTGCAACCTAAAGTAGGCCAGGAGATCAACAGGTTTAAGTTATCATGTTGATGGCAAAAGAAGACTATTCTGAAATGTTACTTACCTTACCCTAGTCCTGTGAGAAGAAAACTTTTGCTGCAGGAAATTATCATATAACCCAAATATAAATGAAATAAAAGTAGCACTTCTTGTACAAAATTACTGCCTCTGTTTGCTTTGCTCTTTAGCTAAGAGTTAAGAATTGAAATTTAAGAACTTTTGACATTGGTACTGATACATTCCTAAGAAATACATTTCAGGCGTGGCGCAGTGGCTCACACCTGTAATCCCAGCACTCTGGGAGGCAGAGGCGGGTGGATTGCTTCAGGAGTTCGAGACTAGCCTGAGCAAGAGCAAGATCCCATCTCTAAAAAAGAGCTGGATGCTGTGGTGGGCACCTATAGTCCCAGTCACTTGGGAGGCTGAGGCAAGAGAATCACTGGAGCCCAAGAGTTTGAGGCTGCTGTGAGCTACAAGGCCATAGCACTCTACTGAGGTCATCAAAGTGAGACAATGTCTCAAAAAAAAAAATGCATTTCAGTGCTGTCTCACTACAGAACTATACATACAACCTGCTTCATCTGTTAGCATATTCTCAACTATCACTTTTAATAACAATATTTGTGAAGCACTGTGGAAACTAGTAATACAGGCATGCCTCATTTTACTGTGCTTTGTTTTACTGCATTTCACAGATGATGTGTTTAACAGATTGAAGGTTTGCTGGCAAATGTGCATCAAGTAAGTCTACAAGCACCATTTCACCAACAGTATTTACTTACCTAGTTAGCATTTCATTAGCATTAATTTTTTTTTGAGACAGAGTCTCACTCTGTCACCCCCAGTAGAGTGCCCTTGCATCATAGCTCACAGCAATCTCAAACTCTTGGGCTCAAGCGATTATCTCGTCTTAGTCTCCCAAGTACCTGGGAGCGTGCCCACCCACCTGCCACAGCACCCAGCTATTTTTAGAGACAGGAGGTTCCTCTTGCTCAGGCTGGTCTCAAACCTGTGAGCTCAGGCAATCCACAAGCCTTGGCCTCCCAGAGTGCTGGGATTACAGGCATGAGCCACTGCGCCTGGCCCTAGCACTAATTTTTAATTAAGGTATGTAGTACATTGTTTTTTAGACATATTGCTACTACACACTTAATAGACTATAGCATAAAGGTTACAACTTAAAAACTCATATGATGTGCTTTATTTTGATGTTCGCTTTATTGTTGTGCTGTGGAACAGAACCTAAAATATCTCTGATGCCTGCATTAAAATTTGAGATTATTTTTTCTCATGGCCCAGAATGAAGTTCAGCACAAACGGAATATGACTTTAAATGCCTTTTGTACTACATTTTCTATTATGAAAAGCATTTGGTATATTAATGCTTTGCCAAGCTAGTATATATTAAGATAATTTATGCTTAACTTCTATTTATCAATAACACCAACTTCTAGTAATGTGAGTTTTCTAACTACTATATTACAGAAAATAAAAAAATTAATGATACTGCAATGGCTGAAATATATTATCTATTTCCTAATGCATATACTTTTTAAAAACAATAGGCTGTAAATAATGAGTGAAATAAAAAATGAAAGTACCTTAGTTTGTCTGTCACTGGCCGTGAGAGCTAACTCTGTCACCCGTGGCAAAAGCACGTCCAGGTAGATGACAGGCTTCATCTCCCTGAAGGGCACGGCAAAGCTGAGCCTCTTCTCTCTGTCCCATGCCACACATTTCTTCATCATTTCATCTGAGGATGCAGCTATTAAGAAGATTTAAAAAGAGATTTGTACCACCCAAAATCTTCCTAATTCCAATTGTTCCACAGCTCATTAAGCCAGAGTGCTTTTATACTTTGAAATATATTTGTTCATCTTCTTATTTTAAAATTGCTTTAAGACATGCAATTACAACATCAGGAATCCCTGGAACACTATTTCTAAATTTAATTTAAAACAAAACTATTTTTATACAAGTCTAACACACTCAAATGCTTAATAATCCAAACTCAGAGTTACTTAAGATATTTTGTGAAAAAATAAGCAATATTTTTATTAAAGTTTTCCTGTTTAGGGACTTGCTGTTGGCCTTCAGCAGTCTGGTGCTGCTTCAAGGTGAGAGCTGGAGGCAGGGGGTTCCGGACCTGGCTAGCAAAGCAGGACAGGAGAGAAAGAGCCATAGGTCACAGATTAGGGATGGAAGTCAAGACGGGTTGGTGAGGGCAGAAACTCTACTGCTCTCAATCCTCCATCGTCCAGAAAATGTAGAGTGGGAGAGGCACAGTCTTTTGAAGGCACTTATCAAGAAATCTGCACTCTATGGGTACCAAGTCCCCATACTAGGCCATGAAATGAGGCAGTTTCGTGAAGGTTTCCCCTTGGATATCAGCAACTATCTGGTTTACCATGACCTCTTCAGAGACCCTCTCAACTAGTCAAAAACTCCCCGGGTAGGCCCTTCCTGGGGAACCACTGGGAGCCTGACAGCCATGTAAAGGAGACAGATCCTGATCCTGTCACCACTGCTGTCGATTCACTCAGTTGGCTGTCCTTTCACCTTCCCTACACCACATTCTGCCAGACCCTGCATGTCCTGAGCCATCAGAACTCCCGCCCTAGCTGAGAGGAACTGCTAGGATTGAAGTCAGCAGTGCCTTGATCAGATTTACATTGGAATGAGAAGGTATATTAAGGTATAGGATAGAAGAGGCTCAGATCAGGGCTGAGATTGGCAAAGGTGACAGATTCTCATAGTGACAGGCACGTGTGCAGGGCTTGCTATATAAAGAGCTTCTTGGCCCAGACCCCATGGTAGCTCTGAGCAGCCTTGCTCAGACTTTAGCCTGGATCTCTAAGAGGGGCCCTCAGTAGAATTCCAGCCCCACCCAGATCCTCATACATCCCCGGTATCTAAGAATGCTAATGGAGCTTAGGGTCTGGCAAAAGAAGAGACAAACATTAAAATTGCAGAGTTTGGAGGATAGGGCAGAGTGGCAGCAGCCTTTGTACCTACCGGTGGACCCCATGATTCATTTGACCTTTAACCTCTGCCTGTCCAAGAAAGAGAGAGAAGCCAAAGATAGCCTGACTCTGCCCTTCCAGTTCAGCTCTGAAAAGTTAGGTTGGAGCCTATAAGCCTGGATCCCTGAGTAGAACCCAACATTGGGGACACAGAGACCTGGTGACAGCAGGCTATTGATTAACTTCTCAGACATTATAGGGTCTGAAGTCCACTTCCAGAAACAAGTCCTAGCAGTGCTTGTCTGTCCACCCATCTCCTCTACAATGGCAGAGAGCCTTCATGGCTCTTTTCTCTCCTTTTAATCCCCTAGGTCCCAGCTTCATGTTTGTCCTCAGGGCAATCTGGGCCTCCCAGGGGAGGTGGCCCTATCTCCAGCCAGCAATGCTAGGTAGACAGGAATATATGGGTGTGGCAAAGGTTAATTAACAAGGACTTAGCAGATGTCTGCTCTTCTGCACCCAGCAAGTGCATGGGTGAAACAAGACCACTTGCCCTCAGACTGCTGAGATCATATGAGACCGTGAAGAGAAAGGGCAAGAACATTCTCACACCAACTGAACGTGGAGGTCAGAGAAAGAGACTGGGTCAAGAAAATACCAAGGAGGCAGCACCTGTAGCTCAGTGGTTATGGTGCTGGCCACATGCACTGAGACTGGCAGGTTCAAGCCTGGTCTGGGCCTGCTAAACAGCAATAACAACTGCAACAAAAAATAGCCAGGCATTGTGGTAGGCACCTGTAGTCCCAACTACTCGGAAGGCTGAGGCAAATCACTTAAGCCCAGGAGTTGGAGGTTACTATGAGCTATAATGTCAGGCACTCTAATCAGAGCAACATAGTGAGACTATCTGAAAACAAACAAACAAACAAACAAAAAAAAACAGAAAATAACAAGGATGCCTAAGAGGCAGTTGCCTGAAGCTATACAGACACACTTGTTACTCTCCTCACCAACAACAATCCTTCCCTCCTCAGCAGGCTCTACTGCGCCCTGGGCCAGGCTATCAGCCAACATCTTCTATGAGCCAGATGCCTACAATGACCTAGACCAAGAAGACCAAATGACGACCTAGATATTGGACTGGCCGGATATGAGTGAACTCTAATTGACTGTGCAGGAGGAAGACCTTGGGCCCAGAACCCTTCTTCAAACTGTTTGTGTTGCCCTTACTCTGTTCTTGCCCCACCTTTATTCCTTGTGTCCAGAGGGGCTCTGCCCCCTAAAGCAAGGAAGGAATTTGAGACAGAGTAGAAAGTAAGATGAGGGCACAGGGTAAGGTGAGAGAGTGGAACAGCCACCCCCATCCCTAATAAAATCTCCTGTTTAGGCCAGGGATAATGGCTCATGCCTATAATCCTGGTACTCTAGGCCAAGGTGGGTGGATTGTCTGAGCTCACAAGTTTGAGACCAGCCTGAGCAAGAGCAAGACCCCACTCTAAAAATTAGCCAGGAGTTGTGGTGGATACTCATAGTCCCAACTATTAGGGAGGCTGAGGCAAGAGGATTGCTCTCAAGCTCAGAGAGTTTGAGGCTGCTGTAAGCTATGACACCAGGGTACTCTATTAAAGGTGACAAAGTAAGACTCAAAAAAAAAAAAAAACAGGCTTGGCGCCTGCGGCTCAAGTGGCTAAGGCACCAGCCACATATACCTGAGCTAGCCGGTTCGAATCCAGCCCAGGCCCGCTAAACAACAATGACGGCTGCAACCAAAAAATAGCTGGGTGTTGTGGCAGGCACCTGTAGTCCTAGCTACTTGGGAGACGGAGGTAGGAGACTCGCTTGAGCCCAGGAGTTGGAGGTTGCTGTGAGCTATGATGCCACAGCACTTTACCCAGGGCGACAGCTTGAGGCTCTGTCTCC